GGCTTCTTGTTCCTAGTAGAAATGCCAGGGGCTATTAGCAGCGTCTTATTACTAGTGGCTTCTAGTTCTTAGTATCAATGCCAGGAGCTAAAAGCAGCGTCTTGTTACCAGTGGCTTCTAGTTCTTAGTATCAATGCCAGGAGCTATTAGCAGGGTCTTGTTACTAGTGGCTTCTAGTTCTTAGTATCAATGTCCATGAGCTATTAGCAGCGTCTTGTTACTAGTGGCTTCTAGTTTTTAGTGTCAATGCCAGGAGCTATTAGCAGCGTTTTGTTACTAGTGGCTTCTAGTTCTTAGTACCAATGCCAGGAGCTATTAGCAGCGTCTTGTTGCTAGCGGCTTCTTGTTTCTAGTAGAAATGCCATTTGCTATTAGTAGCTTCTTGTTACTGGTAGCTTCTTGTTCCTAGTAGAAATGCCAGGGGCTATTAGTAGCTTCTTGTTACTGGTAGCTTCTTGTTCCTAGTAGAAATGCCAGGGGCTATTAGTAGCTTTTTGTTACTGGTAGCTTCTTGTTCCTAGTAGAAATGCCAGGGGCTATTAGTAGCTTCTTGTTACTGGTAGCTTCTTGTTCCTAGTAGAAATGCCAGGGGCTATTAGTAGCTTCTTGTTACTGGTAGCTTCTTGTTCCTAGTAGAAATGCCAGGGGCTATTAGTAGCTTCTTGTTACTGGTAGCTTCTTGTTCCTAGTAGAAATGCCAGGAGCTATTAGCAGCTACTGCCCTTCTCGTTTTCTCTCCAAAAAGGCGGCCAAGAACGCTTCACGCCCTGGGACTGAGCGCCGTGCACGCGAGCGCCGCCGCGACCGGGAAGCACGGCAGGCGAAAGCATGCTGTTCAATCACTTGTATATTCTTAAACAAAATATACACGTCCAAAAGCAAAACCTGTGTGACTTCACCGGAGCACATGCGAAATACGCGTATACAAAGCACAGATCGTGTCAGGCGCGGCGTGCCCAACTCGCCCGGGACAGCCGCCGCTCTCCGCAGCTGGAGTCAGCGAGCCCGGACGGCTCCTCCGCGGAGTCCGAGGCCGATGGGCAAGTCGGGCGGGGCAAAAGGGAAAAAAAAAGAAAACATGCTCTTGTTACTAGTAGTTTCTAGTAATAGCGTTAATGTTCCTAATAGTGTTCTTGCTCCTAGTAGTAAGGCCAGGAGCCCCTAGTAGCGTCCTTGCTCCTAGTAGCGATGCCCTTTGCTCCTAGTAGCGATGCCCTTGTTACTAGCTAGAAGCTGCTACTAGTAGTAATGTCTTTGTTACTAGTGGCACTGCCCTTGTTACTAGTAGCAATTCGTTGTTCTTTTCTCATGTTTTTTCTTAAAGAGAAAAAGATCACCTTTGTTTCCTAAAAACGACATGCGCCGTCAGATGCCACGTGATAGGGATTGTGGAGCCTATGTGCCTGATGAGTCGGGAATTGACCAAACTTGTTCGGAAAATATGTATTTACAGGTAGTACAGGCAGTGCTTCTTCACATTTCAGGAGGATCGGCTCTTCTTACAGAGAGGCCTGATGAAGACTTCACTTTTGTCATACCAAAATTGGAATGACTTTCACTCGGAGTATTTCTCTTTCTTTGCGTGAAGTCTTCGTTTTGGGTCTGAAGAATCCTGCGAAAGGCTCTCCATTCGTATCTCCACCCGCAATTCGCCTCTCCGACATGGAAACAAGTAGTAACAGGTGCCACGCTGGTAGTAACAGGTGCCTTACTAGTAGTAACAAAATCGTTCGTTTTTTCTCTCTTCTAGGCCTTTGAGCGGGCTCCAGAGGATGTGCAGGCCATTTTGCGCTACCGGGAGCGAGCCTGGGCAAGAGATGATGCAAACACAAAATGGGGAGAAGACAAGCAAGTTTTGGGAGACTTTGGATCTTACTTTTTGGATACGAAAACGGTTTGAAACGAAAATACATGATAGAGTTTTAAGCTAGAAGCAGCTAGGAACCGTCATTGAACTTGTAGCCCAATGAGACGAATTCGGGTTTGCATTTTTTGCTATGTTCTTCTTTTTGCACTTTTAGAAAAGAAACGCAGCCGTGTCTTTAAGCATTTTTCATCTTTCTTCCTCGCCACTCACCCTCCTTTTTCTCCGTTTGCAGTCTCTCTCCCTCCCTCTCTCTCAGGACGTCAGTCAGTTCTCTGCGAGCGTCCGCCGGCGGCACCAGAGGCGCGACTATGAAGTACAACTGAAGACCAACAATTTTTCTTGTCTTCTAATAGCTTCTTGTGCCTAGTAGTATGGCCAGGAGCCCCTAGTAGCTTCTTGTCTTCTAATAGCTTATTGTTCCTAGTAGTAAGGCCAGGAGCCCCTAATAGCGTCCTTGCACCTAGTAGCGATGCCCTTTGCTCCTAGTAGCGTCCTAGTAGCGTCTGCTTCGATTTCTTTGAGTTAAACTTGGATGCCTGGTTAGGAGAGGGAGAGGACACATGTGGATTGGAAGCCAGTTGTGACGGTGAGCTTTCAACGGAGCAAAGAGACTCCATCCAGGCGGGTAAGATTTTGGGTGGGAAAGAGATGGACAGAGTGATCCAAAATTCCCTCCTTGAAATTAAAGGGCTCGGGCATATCGATTTTGTGCTAAAGTGCTGCGTATGACATCCAAAATGACAGACAGCATTTTGGCCTGTGAAAAAGAAAACCATGTTCATCTCTGAGAATAGCTTCCAAGATTTGGTAACCAAGTCACAGCTCGTAAAATTTGAAGCACAAACTGTATAAGGCTCAGGCCCTTCAGTTCTTCACTTTCGGACAAACTGGCCGGAGTGTGAACAACTATAGCTTTGAAGTTGTGTAGTGAAGACCAAAAGCAGTTGAGGTTTCGAGGTTTCAGACAGGATTGAAAGATTACATCCAATTTTTACCCCAGTCGCATTGTCGCGAATCAAATACGTGTGGTCAAAGCCTGAGATGAGAGCACTGTTGGATGAGAGCCAAAAGCAAGGCTGGAGCACTGCTAGGTTGGAGGCCATTGCTATTAGGGTGGAGGCCGTTGCTATTAGGGTGGAGGCCATCGCTCATAGGTTGGAGGCCATCACTACTAGGCAGGGTGGAGGCCATCGCTACTAGGTTGGAGGCCATCGCAACTAGGTTGGAGGCCATCGCTCTTAGGTTGGGGGCCTTCGCTATTAGTGGAGGCCATTGCTATTAGGGTGGAGGCCATCGCTCTTAGGTTGGAGGCCATCACTACTAGGCAGGGTGGAGGCCATCGCTACTAGGTTGGAGGCCGTCGCTACTAGGTTGGAGGCCATCGCTCATAGGTTGGAGGCCATCCCTACTAGAGCGGAGGCCATCGCTCTTAGGTTTGTGGCCATCGCTACTAGGGTGGAGGCCATCGCTCTTAGGTTGGAGGCCATCACAACTAGGGTGGAGGCCATCGGTACTAGGGTGGAGGCCATCGCTCTTACCATTGCTATTAGGTTGGAGGCTATCGCCACTAGGGTGGAGGCCATCGGTTTTAGGTTGGAGGCCATCACTACTAGGGTTGAGGCCATCGCTACTAGGTTGGAGGCCATTGCCATTAGGGTGGAGGCCATGGCACTAGGGTGGAGGCCATCGCAACTAGGGTGGAGGCCATCACTACTAGAGTGGAGGCCATCGCAACTAGGTCGGAGGCCATCGCAACTAGAATGGAGGCCATTGCAACTAGGTTGGAGGCCATTGCTATTAGGGTGGAGGGCATCGCAACTAGGTTGGAGGCCATTGCTACTAGGGTGGAGGCCATCGCAACTAGGTTGGAGGCCATTGCTATTGGGGTGGAGGCCATCGCAACTAGAATGGAGGCCATCGCAACTAGGTTGGAGGCCATTGCTATTTGGGTGGAGGGCAGGCATTGCAACTAGGTTGGAGGCCATCACTACTAGGGTGGAGGCCATCGCAACTAGGTTGGAGGCCATTGCGATTAGGGTGGAGGCCATGGCACTAGGTTGGAGGCCATCGCAACTAGGGCGGAGGGCATCACTACTAGGGTGGAGGCCATCGCAACTGGGTCGGAGGCCTTTGCAATTAGGGTGGAGGCCATCGCAACTAGAATGGAGGGCATCGCAACTGGGTTGGAGGCAATCCCTCTATAGAGTGGAGGGCATCGCAACTAGGTTGGAGGCCATTGCGCCATCCCCACCAGAGCGGAGGGCATTGCAATTTTGCTATTGGGGTGGAGGCCATCGCAACTAGAATGGAGAGCATCGCAACTGGGTTGGAGGCCATCCCTACCAGAGTGGAGGGCATCGCAATTAGGTTGGAGGCCATTGCTATTGGGGTGGAGGCCATCGCAACTGGAATGGAGGGCATCGCAACTGGGTTGGAGGCGATCCCTATACTAGAGTGGAGGGCATCGCAATTAGGTTGGAGGCCATTGCTATTG